GTCATTAGAGGGACAACACAGACAGGAAGGTTTGGAGAAAAAGCTAGAGAAGCCAGATTGAGATGGTTTGGACATGTGCAGAGGAGGGACAGTGGATACATTGGTAGAAGAATGTTAGAGCTGGAGCTATCAGGTAGGAGACAAAGAGGAAGGTCAAAGAGGAGATATATGGATGCAGTGAGGGAGGACATCCAGATAGTTGGAGTCAGAGTGGAAGATACAGAGAACAGAGAGAGATGGAAATCAATGATTTGCTGTGGCAACCCCTGAAAAAGGGACAACGCTGAAAGAAAAAGAAGAATAAGTATAGATATAGTAGTAAGTATAGATTTACTTAACTCAAAATAGTAAAACAACATGTTCATATCAACATGTTCATATCAACAATTTTTTAACAGTTCTTTAATACTTACCTTTACCATTTGTTTTCCCGTTGGTTTTCCCATTAGAATACACCTTACAAACTGTCTTTGGAAAAATAATAATTCCATTTTTATTTTTTTAATAAGAACACATACCATATACACATACTGTATATTTAATCTTAGTATAGATTTTGATTGTTTAACAATATGTATGTCAAGCTGACCACAAAATAAAAAATATAAGCTACAAACAAGGCAGCATAAAGAAAATAATTATAATAACTAAATAACATCTAAAACAAATAAATTATTTGTTTAATAAATACAATGAATCAGAAAGAGTTTATTTTTTCTAAAGCAAAATAGTTCACGTAAAAACAATTTACTGCCAACACCGTCAGGAAAGAACACAATCACAGGCAACAATGTCAGCAAGAGTAGTTACTGCTACTGAGGTTAATAGCATGTGTTTTGTGTCCACTGGAAACTTCTTAATTCCATAGACACAGTTTCATTGCCATGCCTTTGCTAGTAGTCACTTGTACACTATTGCAACAAATGTGAGTTTCTGTTAGCACTCCTAGTCAAGCTAAATGGAACTCTTTATTTGAGAAAACAGCGCCAGACAATACGAGACAATAAAGAAAAAACAAAGGCGAGTAAACTGCACAGTTTACAACAAATACAAACAATCATTCACTGGAAGGAATAGTTTAAAAAGACTATTGAACCAGGCTTTTGTATGTATATCTGGGCAAACATCCAAACGTCACATTGATAATCAGGTTATGGTTTAACAACGGGAAACATAATATAATCGTCATAGTTCAACTACAGTACAACACATTATTCTCTTAGTACAGTACAGTTCACACATAACAATGCAGGACATACTATTTGGTAGACAAGGCAGACTGAAAACACTTCTGGGAGCTAATCACTGGCATGGTGTTGAAAGCTAAGATTTTCTGGACATACCTGGAGGTTGGTGTGTTTGCCGAAAAGGAATTCAAATTAAGACTATTTTGTGAAGAAAAATTAATAGTTACATTTTTCACTCAATCCAGAAATAGTAAAAGGGTATTCACTGAAATATTTAAAAATGTAAATTTACATAAACTCGTAAAAGAACAAATACTAACTGTTTTATCTTATATAATAACTATTATCACAACATTGTTTCTAATAAATATAATCTCTTTTTCAATTCAGCTCTGCATTTTGGTTTAAAATGTGCAACTAAAATCCTTATTTGAAAATATATAAGTGCACTAGTACCATGTTCCACATTTGAGGCAAGTCTGACATTTAAAAATGTTTTCTTTCTACATTTGTTAACTGTTGAACAGACGTTCAACAACGTAGACCAGACCAAAGTATTAAGCCCAAAAGTCTCGGACACCTGCTGACAACACAAATTACTGGATAATTGGACAGAGTCAATAAGGCTCATAGCAGCAAACAGAGATTGTAAAGGCTTTGTGTCGTGTGTGTGTGTGTCTGGCTGTGTACAGTATGTATGTGAGCTCAGATAAACTTGTGCTGCTACAGCAACTTTGCTTTAAAGGAAAAGAAAAGCACCGTTACTTGTTCTCAATCAGCATTTGCACTTTACACACCAGATCTCGAGCCAGCGTCATAATCTGCTTTATGTTATGATGCTCAGCCATTTCTGAAAGACAAGAGAACAACACCCAAGGTCAGAAAGAGTTGAAGCTGTCCATTTAGTGTGAAATGTATTTATTAAGCCTGATCTGAATCTGGCCATATTTGGCTGTCACACATTCAGCTGTATAATTGGCATTGGTAGCTGCCAAAAAACTTATCCTGTCAACATGGAAGTCCACTACTCCACCTCGCTCTAAAGACTGGCTAAAAAATATGTTATTAGTCTTCCATATGGATAAATAACACACGGTGAGACACTTCACCAGAAGGAACATTTCTTAAGCCTAACACTTTTTGGAGAATATGTTTTACACCATTTTCTTTATACTGCCATGAAACTAAACATATTGTTCAAAGTCCTTGCTTTACTCATGATGATATTGTGCAAACTCTGAAGTACCATCTGATTATATGCATTTACTGACATATTTGATTTTATTATTTTATCTAATCCATTTAATTTGTTTTGTTTTGCCTTTATATCTAGATATAATAACATGCTTGCTCTGTACATTTATGTAAAGGATGAAAAAAGTATTCAAATATACATTACAAAAAGATTTTGTATTGCTCCCTGCAGTACTGCATCCCCTAGAAGGGGTCCATCCCCCACCTTGTCTACCACTGGTTTACAGTGTACAGAACTCTAGATTCTACACTGAACTGATTCCTCTCATGACTCAAAGTGAATCAATGGGGTAATAAAAATAAACTGTTCCAAGACTCAATTAAAAGGCCAAGACCATCTCTCTCTCTGCAAGGCAGTTATTCAGTCTGGACTGTAGTTTGACCCAAACTGTTCATGGTCAGAATGACCCTCAAATGATGTAAATGTTATGCAATTTACCATTGAAGAACTTAATGATATCAGTGAAGTCCATGTTGTTCTCCAGGATGATGTCCCTGTAGACCTCCACTAGTGCTAGAGCGATGAAGAGGACAAAGTGACTAGAGGAGACGTGCTTAGCTGCCCAAATTGTTTCCCAGGCTGAAAACACATCGTCGTACACCAGCTCTGTCAGAGAAATAACAAAAAAGAAAAACATAATAAAACAGTAATTTCTTATAAAAATAACATATGCCAATTACGGTATTTCCAACAAGAGCTGTGATGACATTTCCAAGTTAGAGGATGTGCTGTTAATAAGTTGGCAGGTTAACTGGCATTTTCCCAAACAACAAATAAAGTGGGTGTGGGTTTCCTCTTCCTCTAACTGGCACAAAATCTTTTGCATTTTGCGGCCAATTTACCTCGCTTGAAGTCCAAGAGAAACCAGCGGTAACAAAAATAGAAGTGAGTGTAGTCACCGTTCTGGTGCATCAGCTCAAACAGTTCAGAGTCCAGAATCTGCACAAAGACAGGGATCAGGGCAGATTTAGGAAGACAAACAGTGACTGTGATTGTGGGTGGGAGCTTTATTGTTTGTGCTGAGGTTTCACTGTTGCTGTCTCACCTGGATTAAGGAGCGCATGTTGGCAAAGTGAGAATCCATGGCTCCTCCATGTGGGAAGTTCTGATTCATTCTCTTCATGAGCTCAGTGAAGCAGCTATAGGCCATGGCCTCTGTGATGTGGAAACACACAGAGAGAAAGTCAGTGGGATGGAAATCCTTAGCTTTTCCATCAATAACTGTAAAGATACATCACATGTCAATAAAGGATGGAAAAAAGTATGAGTCAGCCTGTTGAGTCACCGTCATCTAGAATGACAAGGAGTGGGGCCAGAAGATCACACATGCCCTGCACGTAACCGATGTCCAGGTGTCTCCAGATATAGCTGTGAGCAGAAGATGAAGAAGGATTAGAGTGGCACTTACACTATATTTGAGTCTGAGCAAAACTTTTCAGGATTAAATACTGTCAGAAGAAAACAATCTTTGTAAAAGAAGCCAAGTTTTCTAAGTTACACAATTATGTCGGCAAACGGTTAAACTGTGCCTTTTTTTTTTCTTTCTATGCTCAAAATATCACTACACATACTATGCAACACAAACAGGTCAACAGTTGCTCCTGGAATGTTGTGATGAGCTCCACGTCCAACTAGACTGTGGCATGTTCCATTCGTCAGCACTGATCAGTCATTCAGTATGACCTAGGACACACTGTTACTACTGTACTTTACTTGTTATGTCACTTCTCTTTAATAAAACAAAAGCAAATGTTGCATAGCACTTGAGACCACACTTTTAACGATTTGCTCATAGTTTTGCTTAATAGCTCTGCTTTGGTGACAGGTGGAACACTGTTGACTGACAGCACATAAAAATAATTTCCTTTAATGCATCATGCGAAAGTGTTGTTTCGGTTCCCATTTGTACTGTAACTGATATAATAAATTGTTCACAAGAAATTAAAAAAGATCAAGTGATATAAATGGACATGGAAACATTGTTGATAGTATTAAATTTCATCTAGAGATCTGTGTACTACAATAATACTACAATCTTTTCCCCTAATTTCATGAAATGTTATTACAAACAGGCTGCTGTCAAGTTGTTTTTATACCTGCACATAATGTTGCGCAGTTTCCCCAGGTTGGCAGCAGTAAAGTACCAGTAGTTCCTGTCACAGCGCTGGACGTCCTTATCGATGCGGTGCAGGTTTAGTGTATACAAGTCCAGGAGCTCTTGCTGAAACAAACAGCAGTCATTAAAGAGTATAAAGTCGATTATCTTGACCAAAAATAAATGGATTTAATCTCTAAAACTTGTTAGCTTACAGGAAAACTACTTCCAGCGGGTTCTTGAGAGGTCCCCTTGTTCTTGGTGTCTCGTGACTCTGCTACAGAAACAAAGTGAGTGTACAGACTCTCTATCTCTGGCTCCTCTGACAGCATGGACTCAGTGCCCTCAGGACTAGGTTTTCCCTGCTCTTCCTCTGGTCTGAGCTCTTTACAAGAATACAGGGGTTCACCATGGCCCTTACTGCTCCAAGGCGCCATAGAAACTTTGGCTTTGGGGATCTCTTCCATCTCTATGGCTGAGGGGGACTCATCAGATTCAGTCATAACCTGAGCCTCCTCCTTCTGAGAGGCACCGTAGGCTCCGGAGACTCTAGTTTCTGCTGAGACTAGAAGGACAGTTTCCTTCTCAGGAGCCATGGAAGCTTGAATGGTGTTTTCCTTTCCCTGTCTGGAATAAAACTCTGGTGGTTTACTGTCTGTTCCTGTGTCCTTAGTTTCTTTTATCTTTTCCTCAAGCTTTGATGTTTCCACATCTTCTGCTTCTGAAGATTTTTTCATCAATGTATTATGAACAGATATTTCTTTTCTATTTGTAACTAAGTCTAAAGATTTTTCATCATCCGACTTCAGGCTTTCATCATCTATCTTTTCTTCCTTTGTTTCATTAGCTTCAGACTGATCCACAGACTCTTCCTTTGGTTGGACCATTTCATCAACTGTGACCTCAGTCTTAGTTTTTTCTCTAGTTTTAGTTACATCCAATGTTTTAATTGCCTCTTTCTTTTCCTTGTTTTTGTCCCCAACTTCAAGTTTATCCAGATTTTGCATTTCCTTTGAGATACCTTCAGCATCCGGCCCTGTGGATTTGACAGTGCTGTGTACAGTCTGAGGGATGGAGACGGCTGAAGATCTTGAGGTTGTGTCAGGTGCAGCAGCGTCCTCTGTGCTTAGTGACACATCCGACAAGCCAGAAGTGACAGAGAAGTTACGAGAGGAGGGATGTGCAGAATCAGGAGAGCATGTCTCATTCTGAAGTGCACCATTTGGCATCTTTGGCACTTGTTTGGCCTCGTCGGCCTTAGGCTCCATCTCTATTTGGTCCACCTCCTCCACGGACTCAAACACCTGAAAGAACAAACCAGAGGGAAGCAGACTACTCAAGGGGAAGTGGTGCGAGGAGAAAGAGTTTTGAAGGGCACAGGAATATACCTCAATATGTTATGAGAATTACTGATGACATACATCAGACACTGTCCTAAAACAGGACATGATTTGAAATTAGAGTATTTCATGAGGAATCTGTTATAGAGAACATTACCTGTGTGCTGTTGCCGGAGTCACTCTGCAGGTGAGCCAGACTCTGTCTGTCTGAACTCTGGGACGACTGGGACTGAATTAAAAAAAATGCATTTAGTCCAAGGCTATTATAATTACAGTAAATAAAAACAAATCAGTAAGTCCTCCTCCAGTAAGCTTTCATTATCTTTGGCCACATTATAATATGAACATTGCCCTCTACTGTAAGAAAAACAAGTTATTATTTAAATATTAACAATAGAAAAACACTGTAAATAAAGCAGACCAAATGTTAACACTCACGTTCATCTGGGTCTTCTATACACACTGAACATGTGTCCACATCAACAGATAATCACTGAGCAGTGAATAGACTAGATGTTAATTAAAACATTGAAACCATCCAAAGTTTTTGGTTGTGTATGCATAAAATACACCACAACAGTTTGAGAAGTTCTGATTTGGTTTTTGATGGTTTAAAAAAGTGCTTAATTACAATCATCTGTTTACTGTATAGTAGTTATTATGTAACTACTATGTCCCTTGTAAATATCTCCTTTATTATATTCTTGCCATTTTGCACTGTGGGTCCAAGAGGGCAAATTCATTGTGCCATATGTCCTGTCTGTATGGTATATAGTTGACAATAAAGTTGACTTTGACTTTGATTATACAGTGTCGCTGTAGTTCCTTTGGATACCTCAAGAGGGCAGCAGATACAACAGACACTGACTTTTATATTTTACTTTACGTTTGCAATGAATAAATGTGAATGCAATTGCATGTGTAGGAAAAATAATTCATATAGCAAGGAGATGCATTCAGGGCATGTTCAAATCTTAGCACATCACCAAAGACTGAGGTTTCAAGCTCCAAAGTCTTTTTTTATATATTTTGGATTCCACCATCACCACAAGTGGAATTTTCACATCATTCAGTATAATGCCTACTGTAGACACAACAGAACAAAGCACTGTCTGCCTTTGTAAGCTGACAATGTAAATTAATAATTATTTGTACTTTTTCTCTCTTTGATAGTGTGTACGTGCTCCTGCCGTACCTCACTGCTGACGGTGGAGTCGTGAGGAATCATCCTCTGACTGGAACTGTCTGTGCTCACCACGGAGGAACACTTAGCCAGGGCTACAGCGTGCTGCTCCTTCTCTCTCTGGCGGATAATTTCCTCACAGCTGAGCCACTCACACATGGTCTCCTGGTAGCACACTCGCACCTGTTCATCCACCTAGTGTGGCGGGGTTAAGGGAGAGGAACCAAGGGTCATTAGTTCAGGTGTAAATCAATTTTTAGCAAAGTGAGAATGAAGGGAACAACAAACCTCATTCCTCTGGGTATCTGACATTCCAAACTGGTAGTGACCGAGCAGATAAGGCCAAACCTTCTTCCGCAGAGAGGACTCCACGCCACCGAAGTAGACCAGACGAAACAGCTCCTGCTCCTTGCAGGTCTGAAGATATTCATCAAGTCACAGTTATTGGTTTATGTAATTTATTGTCCTCAATTCTTCACTATGTGAAAAAACTGTAGTTCCAGGATCTAACCCTAAATTTAGCAATGTTACTACTAATAACCTCATTAACCATCTATTTTGTATAAGAATTTCTACTAAATACAGAGATTTATCTATATAATTATATCAAAGTAATACCCCCAATCATCTCAAACCTAATTATCTTAACTAGAAGTGTATGGAGATATGTTTCTCCGCTGCAATGCTGCCATTTGCCTACAATTTCTCTTTTTTTTTGCAAGTAGTTATGTTTTACAGTAAAAATAGGTCCAGAAGAGGGCAGTAACACACCCAAATCTGTCAGAAGCCTTAAACTAAAAGAAGCGGAAGAGAAAATAACCTAACGTGAATAACGACATCATTAGATCACAGAAGTGAGATATAAATCTCGTATTAATGCTTAACTAAACCAATGATTATATAAGACGTTGATGATGACTCTGACATTACCAGTACCATTAGCGGTGCCTCATGCACACGGTTATGAAACTATTAGTGAGAGCTGCACAATTAGCACAGGACACGTATGAATGAGACTGACGTGTGACATATGGATGTAGTGAGAGGACATGTCAGCGGCTGCTGTGTGTGTAAAGCAGATTGACTGAGACATGCTTACTGTGCAGTCCTGGAGGAACATCGTCCACACATCTGTGGTGACCCCTTTGTAGGCATCACACGGCACATCAGGCGCCACGATGGTGTAATTGACGAGGGCAGAGAGGTGCGTACGCACAGTGGACAGGTGACGACAGTATGCCAGCCCTAGTTCACAACACAGGTAATCAAATCATACCTCTGCAGAGACAGGTGTGAACTTACCGTTAAAGGTAAATTTAAAACCACCTGAGAATGACATATTTCTTAAGAGCTTTAATTCATACAGAATAATTTAAAGAACACATTAAGAAAATATGCTATCTTACAAAACAACAATAAAAAAACAAAAACAAATCTAAAGATCTGGCCTATTTATTTAGCCAAAACCCACAAACCAATGTTATGTCTTGACAACACAAAATATAATTAATCTAAACTTTACGGAGCCCCTAAAGGGACATGGGGGAGGAAAGGAGGGGAGAGAAACGTATCTTGTGAGCACGATAAAGTATAACAAGACATTTTGCCACACATACATACAGGGTAATACATTAAAAAAAACAATCATGTTCAGTACGTATGGCATGTCATGCGTGACATATGTACTGTATATATGGTGAGCATTTAATTAATGTAGGGTACTGCTGTTGTTGTTGTTGTTCTACTGTTGATGACAGTGTAGGGAGGTTCGTGAAGGGTAAATACCTATATACGTAAATCATCCTCATCCTTCATCCTCCTCATCCTTCTGAGAGTACGCATACTAATAAAAAAATCTCATCCACAGAGCCCAATAATTGTAAAATCTCACTATGACTCAAGCCAAGCATAATGTACAATTCAACTGAATCGTGCAAACAAGCCATATTCTTGGCTCGCAGGTGGACTTTCATCATTTCATAAATTTCAATTTTATTTATAGAGAGCATTTCATGCACAAAGCAAACTCAGTGTGCTTTACAGACATCACGTAATTACGTGAAAGTTTCTTTGCGATAGTAGGGCACAACAACAGTGCCCTCCTGGGTCTAAATAAGGTACCCTACATTAATTAAATGCATGACATGCCTGTATCTTAGATTTCCAAACCGTACGTACTGTACATGATTGTTTTTTTTTTTTTTAATGTATTACCCTGTATGTATGTGTGGCACAATGTCTTAGATCTATTTTCTCGTATCTTGTGCGCACAAGAAAGTATCTCGTGAGCATGCGATACGTTTCTTTTTTTTCTTTTTTCCCCATGTCCCTTTTGGGGCTCCGTACAATCTAAATCAAGTAATTTAGAAAATGATTTTGTCATTTATTAGGGTTTAATAGGGAAACATAGAGTTGTTTTTTTTTGTCATTGTTGTAACCAAATATTTGGTTTCTGTATGTATTTCATTTCAGCTGTAAATATTTATAACAAATTCTTCTGTGTTTTTAGTGCACATAGAAAGTGAAAACGTACAGCCATAAAACGCCCGAGAGATGATCTGATACTTCATGCTGTCACAAAGCAGCTTCAGTGGAGCCCTGCAAAAAAATGGAGATTGTTTTCAAACTTAGGAATATTTATAGTTTACAGTCATTAATCTCCTGAATGTTTACACTCCCGATGTTAACTTTCTAATATTTTATATCTAAAGTGTGTTAGGCTTCTGGGGATAACCTTTCATTTGAAAATGTCAATGGATTTCTTTTTTAATAGGTGTTCGTTTTCACGTGTCTAGCTTTTCATCAAATTTTCCCACACATTATCACGTCAGTAAGGTAAATGTCACCTATTTTATCCTTTGTGTCTTTGCTCCTTTTCACAGCATTCTTCTTCTGCAGTAGAGAATCTGTGGTGTGACGCTGAGGAATGTCTGAGTGAGTGGCCTTGTTCCTGCAGACGTCGGAGGTGTAGTCCCCTCGTCACGACTCAGTGAAACTCTCTAGTCTAACCAGGGCTGTGTTTATCTCTTACCTCTCATGGTTACATCCTTTGGGTGTCACTCCATCAGAGAAGCTCCCTTGAGAACAAGAAGAACACGACATCTTCCTGAGAGTGGGATGCCACATCGTAGCTCCCGGATCCATCAGCTCTGGAGCAGTCACTGCAACATTCAAATACAGACACACACTTCAGAATAATAAAACCATTACACTGCACACTGCAATGATCATCTCAGATGGAAACACTTTAAGAAAAATTGTTAAGCTTAGTATTTTCCTAAATTTAATGTATTCGTTTTTTAATTACATAAAAGTTGCAGCAAATTCATGTAGCAATGTTGGAAGAAGCCTTAACCTATGACTGTCCTTATGGATGTCAGACTCCAAATACAAATCTGTGTCCTCAAAAAACACCCATAAAACTAAAGACCTAATTTAAATTAATAAAATCTTCTGTGCTCTCTTAATAACCTGTCTACCCAAAACTGTACAGAAAAGCTGTTCTTGCCTGCTTTAGCCACGCAATTAGTAATTGTATTCTGGATATTACCACAGGCAGAATGAACTGATTATTGACTTAAATCAGAGTGAAGTTGTTTTAAACATGTTTCTCACTATTTCTCCTCCTGTCAGTTAACATTTTTCGAAATGTCCCATCTTCTTATCTGCTTCTGCCTGTCACTTCTTTCTCCGATCAAACTAATTCACAACAAAATATATCTATGTATATATATATATACTGTATATATGTATATATATATAATATACTGTATATACGCCATATACATATATACATCTAATAAATATAAGGGATGTCCAATAATATCAGCTGACCAATATTATCAGCTGATATTAGCATATATGTTATATCTGTGAGAATCTTTATTGTTTTTTTCACAAATAATGAAAACCCGACAATGCAATGTCTGCGTTTTCCAAATGATGTGTACTCTAAATATAGTTTTGGGGAAAAACGGCTGTATATTAAAGTGAAAGTCACTAGATGGCAGCTTTGCAGCTCTTTAATTAATCTATTTTAATAATTTGGGGATTGTATGCAGAAAGCTGGTGCCAGAAACTCCTACAGTGGTTTTTACAGATAAATTAATAAATATTACCAGACGTATATTGGTATCGGTTGATATCGGAATTGGAAATTTAGTATTTGGACAATACTGGCATATTATATATAGGAACAAAGTTAATATTAGACATCCCTAATATATGTATACAATGAATGTGACTATAAGCAGTTTTTTAATCGCCTCCTTTATGAAAATGAGAATCACATAACTGTGAACACCAAAGTTGAATCCAACTCAAAACATGAAACAAGATTATGAAAGAATTCCACTTACAAATCCAACAATTATTAACACTAGTTCCCAATTAAAAATTGTAATTAAAAGAAAAATTGTCCAACACATTTAAGTCTGTCCAAAAAAGAGTCAGCTAATCAACTTCAATCAACGCTAGTCCTCAGGACCCAGAATCTCCAATGTATATTGTGACAAACCTGACTGTACAAAGGCAACAGAAATAAACAAACTAATCATGCTGGATGACAAGACAGGCGTCAAATAGTTTACTGCAGCAGCTTCAGACTCTGTGTCAACTGTTTGGTATTGTATAATTTACTATAAACCTGATTTTTTAATGAAAAGAACAAGATGCTAATTTGAGTTTTGAATTTGATTTTTGTACGTTTCTATCTCTTTAAAGTTAAACCATCCTTATTTTCACGGCTTATTTGACGTTTTTATGAAAATATTGCTTACAGGTGCTTACATGCATAGTAGCATATACAGTAGGCTTCATTATAATCAAGAAATTTAGTTTGTTAGGTCTGTAGCAGCCCCTACTCCCCTGTAGACCGTGCTATAACAGAGATTTGAAAGCTCTGGTTCACCGATGGATTATGTGTTTGTCTTTTAAGTATAGTTTTATTCAAAAACTTGCTTCATTGTCTTAAAACAGTAACTGTGAAACACTGCAGTGTACCAGATGTATCTTCCCAATTAAAATTGTAATTAAAAGAAAAAGCCAATGTCAGACACATTTAAGTCCATCCAAAAAACAAATTAGTATTTTAATCATTGCATTTAATCAAAATCTAACAGAGGTTAGGGTTAAAAGATTTTTCTTCTCTCCAACCAGTTACATTTGATCAATCATTTGTCTGCAAATTACCTCATAAAGGTTGCACATAGTGACAGGGAGCAACAGGAGTTTTAATAATGAGGCACATCAATACACTTTGCCACAGGAGGTGACAGGCCTCTGAGTGAAGAGGATTCTTTAAGACAACTGAAAGATCTATTAGAGCAGAGGTGCCAAACTAATTTTCACTGGGAGCCACAGCAGCAATATAGTTCCCCTTGAAGGGAGGGTTGTATCTGGAAGACTGTTTAGATCAGGTGTCCCAAAGCCCCAGTTCGCAGACTAGTACTAGTGTATAGGTTATTTGGTACCGGGCTGCAGTGGGACACAGTGAAAGAGTG